GGGTAGAAATAAAAATAGGTGTTATCAGTCAGTTTCCAACCAGGAAATCTGAAACCACTTCTAATATGTAAAACAGGGAATTTAATCCAGGGAATTAATTATGCAAGTGTTAGAACCGCTGAGAAGCCAGACCGGAGAAAGGACGTAACCCAAAGATCAGCAGCCACCAGAAGCCCCATTCACCTTCAGGATTGGAGGGTTACAAGTGGGGTTTCCAGAAACAAAACCTGAGACCACCCAGCAGAAGCTCAAACCACAAAAGGGGTTTCCTCACAAAAGCTGGGAAAACTAAGAGAAGAGCTACCTGTTGTGGCCTGGACCCAGGGAAAAGATGCAGCTACACACCAGAAAAAAAGAATGTAAAGGAGACAGATGTGGAAATTCCCTGGTGGTCCAGTGGTTAGGACTCTGCACTCTCACTGGCAAGGGCCCGGGTTCAATCCCTGGTCGGGGAACTAAAATCCTGCATGCCACTCTGTGCAGCCAAAAAAAAAAAAAGGAGACAGATGCTCTGACTTCCCCCTCCTTTCACTCTCCAGTCTTCCTCCCCAGAAGCAAAAGCCTGCTGACACTGCAGCTTGGGAAAGGTAGCCTGCAGAGGTCCTTTCTCCCAAGAGCAGAACAGAGTAAGAACAAGGAATGCATCAGCTAGCAAACAGACTATGGACCAGCAGAGCATAAGGAAAACTATGAGCGATTTGTGTTTCAATTTGTTCCACAAAAGTGTATTAGTGCCTACTGTGGACTAGAAACTCTTTTCCTATTGGGAATACAAAGGTAAATAAAAAAGATCTCTAAATTTTCACCAAAAAATATTTTGACAAGCTTTGTGAAAACAATAACACCTAATTAGGAAATACACTAGTCAGGTAAACTGGGCTATAAGAGGCTTGATGTTAGGAGAAAGGTTTGGGGGACCTCTTGACAGGCCAAGGAAAATAGGGTTATTTGGGGGGACCTCTGACCTAAATGTGGATGGATGTATAAACAAGGACATTAGGAATATCTGTCCAAATTCTGAATGGCTTCTGTCTTGGCCCCTCTCCCACTAATGGGATTGGTGAGAATTATAAACTACTGAGGTCAATATGGTTTGAAGAGTAGCTCTCTGTGTTGGAGCCAAACAGACTTAGATATGAACTCCAGCCTTGCTACTTACAGGTTCCATAGTCTTGAGCAAGTCATTTATCCTCAGTTTTCACACCTTTCAAAGAGCAATAATAGTAACCCCTTTAAAAAGTTGTTGTAAAGATAATATGTGATCATATATTTAAAGTGTTTACTTAAGTGCCTTGGGCATAGCAGGTGCTCAATAAAAAGAAGTTGTTAATATTTCAAACTGAATATGTAAAGAGCTAATAACACTGTATATACATTAGTCATTAAAACACATAGGTTAACATATATTCATATAAATATACTTTGTGAACACACATAGATAACATAAAAAGAGCTAATTTCAAACACAAGGTGTAACTAATAGTCATAACATTGTTAGTATTCTTTTAGAGAAATTGAAAGGATTTATAATTTTCCAGGAATCATGAGTATATGTCATTTAATATGCATTATGTGAAATTTAATTATCCATTCTATAACTTTGATAATATGCTTACTTATCTATTACTAACAGATTTCAAAAGTATTTCTCCATTCCAGATATCACTTACATAAATGCTGAATTATTATTTACAGTGCCCACTACTTTGCTAAGTTTTATTTTTGCCATGCATGTTTGATAAAATCATAACCCTGGATAAATCCAACTATTTGTCACCTGTAAGCCTGAACCCCTGCCACTAAACGGGTCAAAAGAAAAATGCACATCCATGCTTAGTGACCTCATGTTAATTTTTTTACCATAAACCTCAAGTGGGCCCTTAATGCTGATAGGAAGTTTTACTCTGCCTAACTCACTGATAACTCAACCCCTCTCCCAGTCTCAGAAAACTATTCAGATCTTTTCATCCCTCAATCTTCAGCAATTCATCCACCATCCTAATTCTGAAATGATGACCTTACTTCCTACTTTACTGAGAAAATGAAATTAATCCCAGGAGAGCTTGCACAGAGACTATCACCACACCTACCAATCACCATCTTCTGCGCTCACCATACCTCCCCATCCAGTAGCATCTGCACCCACAAGACAGCCTCCTGCCTGATACAGGATGAGCTCTCCATCCTCCTGTCTAAAGCCAGTCCCTCCACCTGTGCTCTAAGATTCATCTCTTCTCACCTACTCAAGAACACTGCAGGACTTCTCCTCTCTTCCTCCAACATCAACATTTTTCACTCTCCACTAAATCACCTGCATCACCATAAAAACAAGCAGTTATTTCTCCCATCTTAAAACATAAAAATCAAAAGGAAATTATCTTTACCCCACTTCGCTTTACCAAATCACCAAGCTCTTTCCTCATCTTTGGATCAAAATTCCTGGAAAAAAAAGTTATCTATATTCAACTGTTTTTTTTTTCAATTCATCTCTTGCCAATCACTTAAACACATACCAATCAGGATTTTGTTCCCCTCACTCCAAAGGAACTTCTCTAGCCAAGGACACTAGCGACCTTCCACTGCCACACGCAGTGTGCAATTTCCTCTTATTTAACCTGTCAGCAGCATTTGGTACACCTGTCACTCACTCCTCCTGATACACTCGCTTTACTTGATTTCTGGTACACCACATCCTCTCCATTCCCTTCTTTCCTCAATGGCCCTTCTGTTTCCTTTGGATAAAGGAAGAAAAAAACTTAATCTCGTCCTTGACCTCTTAATGTTGGAATACACCAGGCTCCACTCTTGGTCCTTTTATCTTCTCTATTCACACCCACTCCCATTGTACTCTCTTGTAGGCTCATGTCAACAACTCCTAAATGTGTACCTTCAGCCCATATATTTCTCCCAAAATCCAGATTCAGCATTCTACTTAGATGTCTTAAAGATACCTCAAGCTCAACATGTCCATACTGAACTCCTTATCTTTTCCCGAAGCTTACTATGTCTATAGCCATCCATTTCAGGTGGTAGCAAAATTATCCTTCAAGTTGCTCAGACCAGAATCCTTAGAGTCATCCTTGACTTTTTCTCTCACATCCAACATTCATCCCTCAAAAAATTCTATTGGTTCTACTTTCAAAATATATCCAGAATCCAACTGTTTCATTACCTTCATTGCTACCATACTAGTCTGAACAAATATTTCTTACCCAGATTGCTGCAATAGCATCTAACAGGACTTTCTGTTTCTACCTTTTTCCCCCTGCATTAGCAACACAGCAGCTAGAGGGATCCCTTAAGACCTAAGTCAGATCGATTGTGTTACTCCTCTATACAAAACCCTGCAATTGGTACCCAGTCAGGGACAGTAAAAACCAAAGTCTTTATATCGGCCTAAAAGGTCCTACATGATGTGACTTCCATTACATCTCTGACATCACATCCTAGTGTTTCCACCATTGTTCCTTTGCTCCAGCCACGCTGCTTAATTAATAAATATTTGTTAAACAAATCAATCCCAGTCTCCATGGAGCTCTTGGTCTACTGGGAGAAACAGAGATATATAAAGGATTACAAAAAGAAGGTGGTAATTAAAGCTCTCCTCTATCTCCCATCCTAAACGCTGGCAAGTAAGTGTTGAAGGTTGAGAAATTGGCCAGGGGTGAGTGGTGTAGGAGACCTAGGGAGGAAGCAAGGACATTTCAGGCAGGATGAACATTGCACATGCAAAGACCTAGAGAAATGAATCAGCAGAACATTTGAAGAATTACAAGTAAAGCATCAAAGAATAACATTTGCGATTAGAGGATCTGGATGTGGGAAGTAAACAGAAATACAGTCTATACTTTAGATAGGAATCAGATCATGAAAGACTTTCTATTTGTTTCTTCCCTTACAGCTTTCAATCTACCCTGGGAGTAACTTATTAACCATATATTTTTGATGAACCTCAACAGGGCCAAAGCAACACCTGGAAAGGATTCTGAATTCCCTGAGTTAAAGATACAAAAGAAAAACCCAGAGTCAGATTTAATTTGACAAGGTAAAGGAGTGGGTGTACTATATCAAATTTAATCCGTATAAAATAATCATCTCTGGTAACATTATTTTTCTTGATCTATTGCGTTTAGACTACTTTAGTAAGGCTTGATCTCCCTGTCTATCTAAACACTGATTCACTTACAGTAAGCTTCAGGCTAACATTGCTCTTACTAATACCCAACAAATCCACAAGGTGTTAGTTTCAGACGATTTTGTATAAAAGGTGAACTGAGACTAGACTCAGCCTACAACGTTCCCCAGACAAGGCAGCCAACCACAGGTGAGTCTCAGCATCTATAGTTATCAAGCAGTGACAGTGATTTCTGAAATCTACAGATTTTTCAGGATCTGGAGAACAAATCTAGAGCTTTCCGACTTCTGTTGTGTAGGGAATTTTTGCTTGTCAACCTGGCTTCTTAAATATGGTTAATAATTGTAATCACTGCTAGCAAGCAATTGACTTTACACAGACCATTCACCTGGCCTCTGAAAGGGTCTTGTTTTAAACAATGGCGGGGGTGGAGGGGAGGTTGGGGCAAAAGCAAATGATAATACTTATGAGCTGCTAAAAATGAAGAACTAATTTCGTAATATAGAAGTTTCTTTTTCTTTTTAAATAAAACTAGTCTTTAAAATGATAATCAAGGGACAAATACGATGATTAAAATTACTTGCTTCAGCGTATTCACTTTAAGACAGTCAGCAGTACCACCCTAATCCTTAAACATTGCTTAAATCATTATCTTAGAGTTTTGATCCATAATATGTTCCTACTTTGACAAAAAAGAAATTGAGGAGGAGAATAAGAAGAAATCGTTGTTCAAGAAACGAAGACGTAAAGAAAAGGAGAAAACATTGCTGGAGCAAAATGTGACCGGAGAGGATGGGTAGACCAATTATTTTTGGTTTGGTCAACTTACATAACAATTATAATGCTTTGGTCTTGGTTTCTCATGGGCCTTAATTGTTTGCTTCCCAGCCCAGGATGAAGTTGGTCCAGTTTTGCTTTCTCTTCTGTTGCTGGACAGCAATCTGCTGCAACTGCTGTGAGCTGACCAACATCACCATCACAGTGGAGAAAGAGGAATGTGGCTTCTGCATAAGCATGAACACCACATGGTGTGCGGGCTACTGCTACACCCGGGTAGGTACTTTGCTTTGCTGGAAGTGAGGGTGCTGAGGGTCTGGACGAGGTGGGCTTCATTAATTCCCACTTTATCAATATTCTAAGTTTCCCAAGGAATAGCCATGAGTCCCTTAGCTAGTACTGTCTGTATTATGATTGGGGTTATTTACCATGATATCAGTTAAACATTTGGACTTATATTTGATTAGGGTAAATGCAAGAAAGCCTCAGATTTGATCTGATCAATTTAGTAATATGTCAAATCTATTTTTTAAATTTTATTTAAAATTTAAAACAATTTTTAAAAATTGTTCTATACTAGATTTTACATAGATAAACATACACACATTTAATAATAGAAGAGCTACAATATTCCCCAAAAGCCAATTTCTGTAACTGAAGCCATATCTCTACAATAGAAATAGTACCAAAATATGTTTGCAAACCATATAAAAACACAGCCATGTTATAAAAACTGTCTTATTGGCCCACCTGAATACAAATGTCAACAAGCATCCTGAGAACACAACCAGTCCTTGCAGACTATTAGAACCAAAATGAATCAGCAAACCCACTCACTTCTTTATACTGTTGAGAAAACCAAGGCACAGAGGCATAAAACCACTAGTTTGTGTTCACGCAGCTTCTTTGAATTAATCCAAGTAAAGAAGCAGTTTCTCCTTTTTCTTTTTTTTTCCCCTATAGTACCTGGCTATCTATGCAGCATTTCATTCTATAAACTGAAATTGAAAACAGCAAATTTTAATGAAATATACTTTATGGGGTGGTAAATGAGTTTGACCAAACTCCACTTATCATATCTTCCTGGGATACAGACTTGGTGGCATGATATTGAAATAAACAGAAGTGCCAACTTCTTCCCTCAGTGAATTTTTTTTTTCACTAGAAAGTGTTAGAATAAACCTATACTACCAGGATTAAAGTTTTTATATGCAAACCATGTAGGCTTTGAAACTGAGAGCTCTGCAAAATACACAGCATTTAAGGGGGAAAGATGTCTACAGGGCTGTGGAATATTTAAAATCTTCATGATTTTCATGAGCTTTCATGAAAGCTTTCATAGTCATGCTAAGCTAAGCATTAACATTCCACATTATATATTTTTTGACTTTTTATAAATCCTCAGGGACAATGTATTTGGACAATTTTTCTGAGAAATTAAACTTCAGTGTTTTATATTTTATAAATACTCAAGGACAATGTATTTGGAAAAATTTTCTGAGAAATTAAGTTCCATTGTTTTATGGTTCAAGTTGTCATTATAGCTTTAAACTAAGTATAAAAAGTCATTAAAATTTGTCATATTTCCCTTTTCATCATTTTTCTATATTAAAATTCAACTTTATAGTTGGAGAAATAATTAATATTTTGACATTGACATAAGGAATAGGAAAAGAAATAACTTATATTTTCTGTAAGATTTCCAAAACAATCTGGAAACATGGTATAGCATATAGGTCACTTCTGAGATCATGTTTCCTTGGTTAGGAATTCCATAAGTGAGCTTTAGTGGGTAAACGTTAGAGCAAGCGGTACTCAATCCCTGTCTCATTTTGATTAAGCTAAACAGAAAGTTCCAGAATACTGTAACTTAACTCTCTCTCTCTCCTAAACCACTCAGGATCTAGTGTACAAGGATCCAGCCAGGTCCAACATCCAGAAAACATGTACCTTCAAGGAGCTGAGGTATGAGACGGTCAAAGTGCCTGGCTGTGCTCACCATGCAGACTCCCTGTATACATACCCAGTAGCCTCTGAATGTCACTGTGGCAAGTGTGACAGCGACAGCACTGACTGCACCGTGCGAGGCCTGGGGCCCAGCTACTGCTCGTTCAGTGAAATGAAAGAATAAAGAGCAGTGGACACTTTGAGCTGCCCACCCTTGACCTGAAGGACCAAGACATTCAAGACGTCTGTGTGTACATGTGCCCAGGCTGCAAACCATTGTGGGAGACCACACTGATCCCTGCTCTCCTGCATAAGGGAGCTCCAGGAATGGAGAGTGCTGGGGCCTGGGGCCTGTCACCACCCAACCCTGTATTCTAGGTCTGGTTCCATAAGTTTTATTCGGTCTTACTTAACTTACAGGCATGGGGTTGCTTTCCCATTTAATAATCTTAGAAATCCTCTCAGGCAATCCCTTCCTCTTAGACATAGGGATATGGGCCCAGAGGAAGGAAATGAGCTAAGAGTGGGTGAAAGTACTAAATGTAGCATTCTCCTGCCAGACTCCTGAGCCCTCAAGAGCAGTCCCAGTCTCTTCTTCGTGATTGTAACCTCAATGCCTAACTTCATGACTAGACTTTAGTAAGAAACTCAATAATGGCTTCCTTAAGGAAAGTAAGAGCAGAAAGGTAGGGGGTAGGACAACGCTGAAAGAGGATGTCTGAGGCTATCTGATGAGGCTGTGCTCAGCAATGCCAGTCAGTCCACGGAAGCGGGGCATCCATTCCAGTTCCGCTTCACCTCTTCTTCTCTGGCACATGGAGGGTGGATGGAGACAGGATGCATCTCTCTGAATTGCTCAGGCAGGTGGTGGTTAACGAGCTCAGGATTTACAAGCTATTACTGCCAACCCCTTTAGTTAAGGGCAAAAGCAAGAAATGTTAATGTGGGCTTGTGGAAATTAGCCCACATCTACTCCATCATTTAAATAAATTGAACAAATGCTGTCAGGCTCCTGCAAAACTCCCTTTGGGAAGTAGGAAAAAAACTACATCGCCCTGCCCTCCAGGCTGGGATCCACACCTTTGGAGAGAGGTGGATTTGAAAGTAGGTTTGAAAGCAATTCTGGCAACTTTATAAGTACATTTGTCTTACCTACAAATACATTTGTGTAAAGAAATAGCTCTTTTAGGAAGAATTAGCCATGAGAAAAAAAAACACTGCTGTTTTCTAGAATCCTCTCTATATCAGTCTTTTGTCTATCAATGTTCTCCCAAATCTGTTTCTTTCAAGAGGGTAAATATTGAAACTATTTCATGAGTTGATTTCGAGATGTTACCTCTTTTAGTTACGTACTTGTTTCATCTTCAGATTGTTTATTTAAATCTTATTTTTTTAATAAAGATACTCGCCACCAGAGTCATAGATTTGGATTTTTTTTCCACATAAAAGCAGATGACTAAAATGTCTATATGTTTATAATATTAGTAGAAAGAATCTTACAAAAAAATTTCTAGTGCATCTGTAATATTTACTTGTCCTGACCTTTGGAGATATTAAAATTAATTTTGTTGCATTTCTAAAAGTATTTCCTTGTTTAAATTTCCTGTCACTATTTGAAGTCACTTTCTGATGTAGTGGGGAAAGAAAAAGCAAGAGAGAATCACAGAGTAGATGGGGTCACTGGAGAGTCTCTAGTTCATTCCTTGGATTTTTGATATTGAAGCCCAAAGATGTCAAGTGACCCAGACAAGATCACAAAGACTGTTTATGGGAGGCAGGATAAGAATCCTGGCTTCCCAGCTCTTACCCCAGCTCTCCTATGGCTACTCTATCATATTAAGTCATTTTGGCAAGGATTGAAGCAAAATTGCAGGTACTGATAATCAGCTATGTCCATTCAAATCTGCTGTTGAGTGTGGCTTATAGCTATATTCTCTACAACATTTTGATACATTGAAATTGGAGCTATACTTACAATGTTTAATAAGATGCTTTAAATTATAACACAGCCTTTTCCTTCTCCCTATACTTTTGAAAATCAAAATAATTGCTTTCGCTTTAGAGGTACTGGAAGGCAATGGCTCCAGAGTTAATTTGTCTTAATCATCTTGACCAGATGTGTGTCATCTTGAACAAATTACTTGAATTTTCTGGACCTCAGATTCTTAACTATAAAGTGAAGATACTAATATTATCTGCCTCAGAGGATTATACTGATAATTAAACAGAATAACACATATAGAAAGCTTAGAATAGTGTCTGGCACATAGCAATTCCTCAGTAAATATTAGCTGTTATGCCTTGAGACAATGTAGCAAGTTGGTAAATCAGATTTAAAAACAACCCAGCTTAGACTCTTTCTAGTAATCTTAGGTAAACTATTTAACCACTCTGGGTCTCACTTTTCTTACCTTTTTAAGTGGAATACTATCCCACTAGGTTGCTGTGAAGGTTAAAAAAGATAATGCATGTAAGGTGCTTGGGAGTCCAACAGAAGAGCTATAAACCTGATAAAGAGAGACTTTTTCACCACTTAGCTAAAAAAGGTCGAGGTCAAAATGCTAGGAAGCAGCAGCAGCTTCTGCTTGAGGCCCCTCCATGCCACACTGAAGTGCAGCCCTTCCTGAAGAAGCAAGAGAGAAAATTTGTGAGCCCTCCAGGGCCATGCGAAGAAAAGGCACTCCTCCACAGGCCACCATTTGAGTTGAAGCCCATACTATCTCTCCCCAGCACTACGGCAAGGGTCTCTCTTAGCTCTGGACAGTCCTCACACAGCAACAAGAACTATCCTTCTAAACCACAACCTTGACCATGCTTAATAATGAATGGGATTTCCCATTGTTTTCAAGAGGATAAAATTCTAATTTTTTTTTTTTTTTTGGCCACAGTCACACAGCATGCAGGCAGGATCTTAGTCCCCCAACCAGGGATTAAACCCACACCCCCTGCAGTAGAAGCGCAGAGTCTTAACCACTAGACCACCAGGGAAGTCCCATCTAATCTTTAGCTAGCACATAAGGCCCATCATGGTCTGACCTGTGATTACCTCTAACTTCGTATCTCCCTCTTCCCCAAGAGGCTTCTGGACCTAGAGACCAGTTGTGAGGGTTGAGGGAGGATTTTGTGCCTTCCACTCCTGAAATGATTTAGCCATAATACCATGCCTTTCATCCCACAAGAGATGTGGCTATGATTTTAAACTAGTCAGTAAGTCAGCGGCACTGAATTCCAAGTGATAAAAAAAAGTGATGCCAGTACATAAGATTAATAAACACTGGGTTCATGACAGTGAGGAAAGAGAAAGAGGAATGGAAGTACTTAGGGGGCCTCAAACTATATCTGTAATGTTTACATCTTAAAATAAATCTGAGTCACAAATATGGTATAACGTTAATATACATAAATCTGGGAGAGGGCTATGCAGGTTTTTACTATATTCTTGCAGGCATGTAAAGTGCTTGTGATTTGAAACTAACAAGGCATCTTTATGTGCCTTATATTTTTAATTCTGATTTTATGTCTACTGTAAGAAAAATGAAATGGGCTCTAAGCCTAAACTCACACAGCTAGTGAGGAAAGGCTCAGTCATTAATATTCACTTAGGGACTGTGGCAGAGAATTCAGTGTGCACCAAGATTTGTGCCTATTTCTTCCTGGCTGTAAAGCTGGACTACATTTCCCAGCTTTCTTCATAATCAGGTATATCCATATTCCAGCCAATGAAATGTGAGCAGAAGTACAATGAGATATTTCCATACCTGGCCCACAAAATCCTCTCATAAGGATTTTCCTTCTCTTCCTCTATTGGCTGAATGTCACCACCCACAGTGGCCTTGAAAGCTTTGTGTTGGTGATAACAGGATCATCAGCAGCCTGGATTCCTGAATGTCTACACGGAATGGTGTGCCCCAACATCAACAGCCCTTTATAGCAAACCAGATGGACTTGGCTTCTATCGGTTAAGTTGCTGATTTTTGTGGGTTTATATGCTAGGAAAAAATTGCATTATTTTAATAATACATTAATTGGTACTGGATGTGGAGGGCTGCATTAACAAAAAACTTAGTGTATATGGCACTGGCTTAGTGGTCCTGCAACAGAATAAGAGTGATAATCAGAGTAAAAATTTCCCCTGTGAAAACACGAAGAACAACCACATGCCTACTGAACCTTTAGCTTGGTGGTCAGGAAATTATGCCCCAGAGGCAAAATCTGACCCTCTTCTCAAAATAAATTTACTGGAACACGGCCATACCCACTTGTTTACAAATTGTCTAAGGCTTTTTTTGTACTACAACAGCAGGATTCAGTAGCTGTGACAAGACTATATGGTCCACAGAGTCTAAAATATTTACATCTAGACCTTTAATAGAAAAAGTGTGACAACTCATGCTGTAAGGGAAAGGTTTACAAAGAGTCTGAATGTTAATGGGATTGGACTTTTACTTCCTAGTTATTAAAGAGATGGCTTGTTTACAATGGGACGTAAAAGGAAATGGAGAAAGTTCAAGAATTTGGAGCCTTGGTGGTATATCAAAGCCTATTGCTTCTAGATCCCAAATAATAAGAGATAAGATAAATTTGAGGGAAAAGAGCCATTAAGATTCAGCCCTGAGGTACGACAGATTTAGGGTGTGGCCTTCCCACCCAGGTCTTTTATCTTGTGGTAGAACCATTAAATTGTGAGGAAGCAAAAAAATATATATATTAAGATTGATAATTATGTTTAAGAAGAGAACATTAGATGTGTTTATAGGCACCAGGAACCAAATGAAAGTTGCTTTTAAGGGAGTTTATTGCCGACAAAACTAAGACCAGGCTAAAATTGCCTGATTGTTTGCACAACCTTTGGGTCCCCTAACTTGACAAGCAGGAAGTAGGCTACTAAATCTATACAACCCCAAGGATGGCATCTCTCCAATACCTACTTCAAATGTGGCTGTGGAAGATAATGGATATGGAAGAACCTTCTAGATGATGGAGCCAGGAGCTATGGAGAACAATGGACAAGGAAAGAACGTTCCTCCAGAAGAATCATCATCTAATTAAGGAACTTCCTCCACTGCCAAGAAGCAGGATTCCATAGAGCTTGCCAAGAAGGGTTTGATCATTGCTTAATCCAGTGAGCTATGTTTTCTAGTCTTCCTTTTTATGAATGGAAGTGTTACTGTGAACAGTGTTATTGTGTGGAAGTGTCCCAACTTCATCACTGAATACTGAATGGAGGGAGACAAAAAAGATAACTTGTCTTTTTAGCTCATGGGTTGCCAGCCCATAAGGAGGCTCATCTGGAAAATGGGGAATTGGATTTAGAGATGGATGAGATCTTTGGAGAGGGAAGGAGGTGGTTCCATCTGATGGAGAAAGATGAAACTGTATTTGTTCTCAGAGATTTGGACTGTGACAGAGATTGTTACATGTTCACCAAAACC